ACCTTGCCTACCTGTCAAAACACAAAGAACCGCAAGATGTGCAAAACCGAAGCCTTCAAATCTCACACCTGCCCTCATCATTGGATGAGCATCGTCAAACCATGTGGGCCGGAAGCATCTTTCAAGAATCAGACGCACCAATACAAACCTGCGAGAAGTGCGTGGAAAAGAATGGTGCAGCCAGAATACATTTCTGCGCCGGCCGACAGCTGTCCGAACTGCGATCTGAAAGGAGACTACGACGCGGACAAGACCCGGATCATTCTGAAGAAACCATGGGAGGCAGGCAATCTGGGCAATGGATACAACATGACGGATGGACATGGGAGGGTGTTGCCAGTGTATCACTACCGAGGACATTTGCCGCCAGGGTCAACCTATCCTTCGTCTGGGCCTACGAGGGTCTCGATGGCTCATCCGGATGGACAGTGGCAGCAGGCTGGATGTTGCGTCGTGATGTGAGCGGCGTTACTCACTGAGAGAGGGAGATGCTTCAGCGTCACTCTTTCCTTACCTGTGTCATACAGTTTTCACTTTTGTGACCAGCGTGAAGGGTGCAAAGGGAGTTTTGGACAGATAGAATGAGCTCTCGAGGCCCTGCTATCACACGGGATTCCCCTACAACGTCTGCAGATTCTCCATCGCCTACGAGGGACTCTGAACCCCTTTCTATCCCCTGACCAATGTCCACGGAACACTTTCCGCCTGAGGTGATTGCAGCGGACATGACCAACTCTCCATCGTTTTCAAAGACTTCTGATCACGCAATTGCCCCTCTCGATTGGATCAACGTGAACCCCTCGCACGCGACCCTTTGCACATCCAACCCCCCGATAGCGTTCGTGCACTCGGAGATGCCCTGTGCGTTGTGGTACAATCATAGCATGGGAATTCGCTATACTTGGACGGCATGAGGTCAACAGGGGCAATCGCGACAAGAGGCTAAGAGATTCGAAGCCACCGAGATGTTTTTTTTTCCCTGGCTCTTTCTATCCTCATTTCCTTTTCCCCAGCTGGGAAACAACCACCTGTAAGGAAAGTTTTTACGAGGAATATTCAGACCACAATGGCTCCCATCGCCGTTGAATCGTCTCACGCTCCTCCAACACTGCCCTCCAAGCCCAAGCCGGTTGACTTATCTGTCTTTCCCGATGGTTTCAAAACATCCGGCCAACATCCTCCGCTCTACGACAAGCTGTACCCGTACTCTGCATTTCCAAAGTCCATCTCCGGTCCCACGGTCTGGTCAAACGAAGACTATGCCTCGCACCCCGAAACATGGACTCATGTCTTCTCAGACTCTGAGATTCATGAACTCTCGGCCGCGGCGGACAGCTTCATGGCCCAAGGCCTGCCCCTGACGGGGATCAACCCGTCCAACTTCCCGCTCCCGACCATGTCGTCCGCGCTGAAGTCGATGCGCAACGAACTCCTCAACGGCAAGGGTTTCATCCTCTACAAGGGCTTCCCCGTCCAGGAATGGGGCTTGCACAAGTCCGCGGTCGCGTACATGGGCCTGGGCACCTACATTGGCTACCCGGTCTCCCAGAACGGCCGGGGCCACATACTGGGCCACGTCAAGGACCTGGGCGAGGACAGCACGCAGATCGACAAGGTGCGGATCTACAGGACCAACGCGCGCCAGTTCTTCCACGCCGACGACTCAGACGTGGTTGGCCTGCTCTGCATCGCCCGCGCCGAGGAAGGCGGCGAGTCGGACGTGGCGTGCGTCCACCACGTGTGGAACATCCTGCAGGCCGAGTACCCGGACGTGGCGGAGCTGTTGACCCAGCCGGTGTGGTACTTTGATCGCAAGGGCGAGGTGTCGCAGGGCGAAGAGCCCTATATCCGCACCAGCGTCTTCTACCTGGAGACGCCCGAGGATGGGAAGGAGCAGAGGGTCTACTGCAAATGGGACCCGTACTACGTCCGCAGCCTGACCCGGTTCTCAGACAAGGGCATCATCCCGGCCTTGTCGGCGGCCCAGGTGCACGCGCTCGAGACGCTCGAGAACGTGTGCCAGCGCGTCAAGCTACACATGATCCTCGAGGTCGGCGACATCCAGTTCCTCTCAAACTGCCACATCTTGCATGCCCGCACCGCCTACAGGGACTACGGCCCGGACAGCGGCATGCCGCGCAGGCATCTCATGCGATTGTGGTTGAGTACCCCCGTCAGTGAGGGAGGGTGGCGGCTTCCGTTCCACGACGTGGACGAGAGGAAGAGGGGAGGCATTCAGGTGAACGACACGAGGCCGGTGGCGAGACTGGATGCCGATTGAATTCTGTCCCGCTCTGATTGTGCGCAAGAGGACGAGTTTTGAGGTGGGAGGAGAGATGCTTGCGGGAAAAGACTGGATAGACAAACTAGGATAAGATACATTCATTTCCCGACTCTCGTTCGACTGCCCTCTCTCTCACACACACTCCCTTATACTTTTGGCTCAATCCTTCACTGCCTGAACAAGCCCTCGTGTGTAAAGACGTCCACCTTCCTTGATATAGACTTGAGGTTCTCGAAGAGTGCCGCTCCCGTTTCCGACTCGGCCTCCCTCACTCTGATATCCCGAACATATTTCCGTGAGTGCGGGCCCGGCGTCCCTCTCAAGTAACATGTAGCCCTGGTTTTGCGGAGAGAGAAGAATGCGTAGGTTTCCATGCAAGCATGAACGAGCCGCGAGAGTTGGCCAGATTGGCCAAGGCGATCAACACAGACAACACTTGTGGGTGATTCAAGGGCAACCCCATCGTTTCCACTTTTGCGAAGAGAACCTGTCGCAACCGCCCAGCACTGGGACCCTTTCGAGAAGCTACTATAATTTCCCCAACTCAGACAGACCTGGGCCCTTTTTTCTTGGTTAGAAGAGACCCTTTGCGGGTGTGGTGGTGTGCTGCTCAAACGGCTAATTCAATCTCCGCAGATTTTGGTGACGATGGCAGGCACATCATGTCCCGCAAGCTCAAAGAGTGATCTGAGTCAAACAGCCGCTACTACCCCGGCTGGCCGGCCAGCTTTTCCTCCCTCGATGTAGGAGACGGGGTTGAGTTCAAAGATTAAGCAAATGTGAGGCATCCGCTGGTCCTCCCATGTACAGGGACGGGTCGACATGTGGCAGGACCAGAGTTGGACAAGAGCTCCCGAGTGGCCGGAATGAGTTCGGATAGCTTTAAAAGGACACGGTTTCCGGCCATCTGTGAGTAGAGACTATTTCGGGGAGAATGCTTGATTTGTCAAAAGCATGGAATCAAACAAACCCGCCATTGTGGAATCCGGCCCAACGTGCGATTGCCCTAAAGGGCTGAACAATGTATGGAGACGGAAGCTCCATGCTAACATTATGAATTCGACGCCGGCAAGCTCCCCCTGAGCTAAGCGTTACCGAATGTACTGGGGAGGAAGCTTGCGTGCGGCTTCTCTTCTCCGCGTTAATGCCTGTTGGTCGATGTGTGCCTGCATATCAGGGACCAACATCTGGTGCTACTCACCTCTATGCATGGCCTTCCACGCATCGAGCGCATGGCCCATCATGCCCAGGTTAGTTTCTACCATCTCCCATATCTGGTTGACTTGCCACTGCGGGAAATTCGTTAGCACGGCTGTAGGGAAATTATTCAGGTGCCATAGCTCTGGCTACCCTCCGCGAGAGAAGAGGTGGCCTGAGTTCACACTATTTTGTAAATCCGTGCCGCACGCCCGTGAATGCACTCTGGAAAGAATTCTAGGCAGCCTCCAAGGGGCCTCCGGAGGTGTAGTCCCCTCGCCGCAGCGGACCTCTATCACCAAGCCGCAGGAGATTGGGGCGAGCTCTCAGCAAGTGAGCAAGCTTATTGCCGCCTAAGGAGTCTGAAGCCGCGACTCGAGGATGTCTTGGAGAAAACAAACAGATGTCGTGGCTTGCTAGTTCTAATAGCTCAGCATGCGCGATGACAAAGGTGTCAGAGTAGGACCGAGGTCGAAAGAAGATTGATTGGTCCCTCCCTGTGTAGGGCGCCAAATGAAGATGCCCAGGAGGAAAGACCGGGGGGCCAACACTGGAGAAGTGGACGGGGGGTGTTGTCTCGACTGAGTAATGGGTTGCTGCGCCCGCTATACTGCGTCTGGGCAACCCAGGTCTTGACCAACGTCTTTCCCATGTTCTCGGGGGTCGCCAGTCGTGTGCATGCATCGACGCTTGACCGAGACGATAAGCGGAGATCATGTGCCCTTGTGGTTAATCATGATCGAGAATATTGTACTGTAGCTTGCCCGAGGTCCGCACATGGCCGAGCCGCCTACTCCTACCCAAACCGCACAAAGGGCCGTCCACTTCCCATTGGGGCTCTGGACAACGGCGCTGAGTTGGCGAATCGATTTCGGGGTTCGCGACCACTGTGGCCATGCTTCTTCAGCCCCATTTGGGGCTTGTCAGCCTCGATGAATTTGGGACTCTCCTGCCCTGGCTGGTGCTCCCGTGAGCAGTACCATAACCGCCCCTTGCAGCATGCATCCCATTCGAGGACGGTTCGCTTATTCAAAGACACTGGATGTTCTGCTCCTCCTTGGTCCGATGTCGTCGGCTTATGACATGCATGCTCATTGGCAATGGTTTAGGGGACGCACTAAGGGGCGTCCGTCGTGACTGCGCAAGACTGTTTCGACCGAGACACCCTGCATATTTTTCCAGACGGATTATCTTATTCCGGAGCTGGCGCTGGATAGAATCGCGATGCATTGACGCAAACAGATCAACCTTTTCTGATTCTACTCTTTTAGGAGGTGGTGGCCGATTGTGTGGTAGGCCTACCTCTTTCTAGGCCTCTTTCTTGAGCATACTTTGCCAATATCCCTGCCGCAAGAAGTCGAAGGCCCCAAGACACTCGGCAGTGGAGGAACCGGCCATGATTAGCGGACAATCAGCGCGGGTCTCCCGCACCTTTACTTCTCAGACTTGCATATATTGTTGTAAACGTCCGTCTAAGCTGGAAGGGAGCGTGGATAATCATGCCCGGGTCCATTGAAGGATGGATCACCCTGGCGACCTTGACAGAAGGCAAAGTCGAACAGTAAACCCATTATTTCCTGCACACCAGCAGCAAGAAGATGAGGAACAGCGGCCGCATCAGCGGCGGCAGGACCTTCACGGACAGCCTGCAGAACAACATCGACTACCGCTCCATCGCCGCAGGATCTCCCGGCCATCTGACAGTGAAGTTATTCGACTAGGGAATCCGGGGGCGCGGGACTTGTCGCATTCGCCTTTTCCCCTTCCAGGAAACAGTTTCGTCCAGCGTGCGATTCAGTTCTGTATGCATTCCATCTCCCGTCACACGAGCACGGCTAATGTTCTTTTTTTCCTTTCCAGGGGTGAAGCAGTATTCTCCGGCAACGGTTCAGCGTCCACATTTCGTTGGCCAGGGTCCGGATCTTGCCCTTCTGCGCGACTACATACCGTTCCTCATGAATGATCGTATGACCTTTTCAGCGCTTGTTGCTATGTCCTCCTTCAGCGCCAACATTGCTGCTACTGGTAGTCGCGACGCTCCATCAGAATCTCTCAGGTTCTATCAGTCTGCCGTTTCGCTGTTACGGGAGAGGTTGACCGATGAGTCGCAGCGGTCCAGTGATGCAATCATCGTGACTCTGGCAAACTTGTGCGCGTTTGAGGTGAGAATACGCTCTCCAGGGCTACAAGGGTCCCCGCATGTGTAATCAGCCCACTGATCTGCGTTGTCTGAGTCTGGGCCTGCAGGCCTTTTCGGGAAACTATGATGCAGTAGACATGCACACGCTGGGCATCAAACAGGTCGTTGCTCTTCGAGGCGGCACCAGCCAATTAGGTACCTTTCCTGACTACTCACCCGCTCTCTGCATGAATCAATCTGACAGGAAGCAGGTTTCGAGGGATTCCTGAAGACGGTGGCGACGGCGTAAGTCGTACTTTGGTTCTGACTTGACGTTGGGTCTGAAACGCATGACTAATCGGCCACGGATTGTTCCTTTGTCTCCAGGTGGCAGAACTTTTATGCAGCCCGACATTCCATCTCCCTGACCGACCGGCGCTTCTTTCCTGAAGACGGAAAATTCACCTACCCAGAACATCCCTTCGATCCCGACCTGTGCGACATCATTACAAGGTTTCGACCGGGCCTGACTGACATAGCCTTGTCTGGCTTGCTGAGTCATCAGATCATCAACCTGATCGCACATGTCAACAACTGGGTGCAAGAAGTGAACGCCTCTCTCCAAGAGTCGGATGTGTACAATTTGCATGAACTGTCCCAGAGTTCGCGCAATGTCACCTTATGCGGCGAGTTCCTGCACAAGCCGGGATTGACAATGGTCGAGCAACTTCTCGTTCTTGCCCTGACTGCATTCTGCTATTCCACAGATACGACACGATCCATGTTTTACCTGACAAATGCTTATCTGCAAATTCGTTGCAAGCACATGAGGACGCTGTATATTGAGGTGACGGGCAGAAATGAGGCATTTATGACCTGGGTCGCAACCATGCTTCTTGCCACATTCGAACCCGCATCACAGCCTTGGTTTCTGGGCCTATCAATCCTGCGAGCGCGCCCGACACTGCGAGACTGGCAGGCAAATGTCAGGATTTGCGAAGATTATTTCTGGAATGATGGCCTTTCATTGAGACTGGCCTCGAAGCTCGGTTATCTCAGGGGAACAGAGCGCCAGGGTCAGGGCTGATACCGTAGAAGTCCAAAGCATTCGTCTCTTGGAAGGTCTGAAGCTCCGACGCGACGACACCAGTTGACAACATGGGCGTACCTGATGGGTTGGAAAAGGGCAAAATGGCATTGCAACACCCACTCTCTTACCTGAGCTTCTCACATACGGGACCACTGGGATCGGAACAAACTTTCAGTTGATGAGCTCATGTGCAAAGGGCTATACTCCAAATTGCTATCACTATACGGATTCTCGAGGTGTGACCACTGGTATGCGGCACACCGAGACGGAACGCAACCTTTCACTTCTTGACAGATGGTTTGGCCATTGGATAGGATTTATCTGACAGAAGTTGAAGAGGGTCGACCAAATGATTGCTAGCGAGATATAAGGAAAGCTGCAAAAACGTTCTTGTTGTCACTTGTTGGAAAACACGCGTCGGTCAGTGCGAAAAACAATTTTCCTTTTCAAGCTCGAGCTACGCGTCTGCCAAGCCTTATGTAATCACAGGCTTGGCATTTGCGACGTCCCCTCGATCTTTCTGATGCCCCCAACACGCGGTCAAGGGCGTTTCGTGTCTCCGTGTCTTCATGTCTCCCATGTCTCTATGTATCTCGGTATGAAGCTACGTTTGCGCCACACTTCTCGTGCCGTTTCGTACTCCTGAAATCCTGGTCCACATCTGAACTGCCATCACCCTGCAAGAGGTGCATTCGTTCCTCTCGGACTAGACTACCCTGACTCTCCTGCCATGGAGATACAATGGCCGCATCTTTAATGTCCACGTCGAAATCTGTCGCATGTGCTCCCTTGGCAGACGGAGTATTTGCTTCTGTCTTCTCACCTTCGGTCGTCAAGTCACCCAAACATCGTCGACATTTCGCTCTCCAAACCCTTGCAGCAATCCCGGAAATCCAAACTGCTTTACACAGACATCTGAGAGTGCTTCTCGGAGTAGGTGACGAGTCTTTCGTCTATGGGCAGAATCGCTGGGTGTCTTCTGCTGGCGCTCCCTTCCACAGCCACCTCGGATCTTGTCCGCCCCCCGATCAGCTCAGGCTGCCGACAGCAGCCGATCATGCGGTGCAGATCACAAGGGAGGCAGAATCTCCGATCTGGGGCATGCTAGCTGGATGGCGTACGGCAGTCGGCTCTGAAACAATGATAAAGTTACTAGCGTCAGTACTAAATGATCTGATGACTGAGTTCGTGACCTGGTCCTACGCCGGACTCTACCGTGAAGGACTTCATCTCCACCTTGAGTTCTGGGTAGACCATTTGTTTTCTAGGATTGCACGCAAGGTTCTCTGTTGTATCAACGAGACCTTGGAAGCACAGCCTCTGCCGGAGACGGAGGTGAAGAAATGGATGGACATGGCTACCGCCCGTTTGGGCGCTCTCCGGGTCGATGAACTCTTTGAGATAATAGTCGACTGGGACGCCACCGCACCGGCAATCGAAGATCTCCGGTATTTCACGACAAACCCTACAACAAGAGGGTACTTGACGCTCAATTTCGTAAATGTCCTACAAGCACGTCTCCTCCACCCTGGCGCGTCGACCATTGAGATCCTGCAATTTTACATTTCAATCATCCGGTCATTTCGGATCCTCGATCCAAGGGGAGTCCTGCTGGACCGCGTCGTCAGGAGAGTCCGTCGCTACCTCCGAGAGCGAGATGATACAGTAAAGGTGATCGTGGGTGGACTGCTGGCTGACATCACGCCGGACGAGACTGGACAGCCTCCCCCGTCCGATCCAGACGTACTTACGGAACTCGCTCATGAACTGACCCGTCATACCACGCGGGAGAATACTATAGACGACAGTGAATTTGATTGGAACAATATGGATTGGATGCCTGACCCCAGCGACGCGGCTCCGGACTACACGAAATCCACCAAAAATACAGACGTAATCAGCAGTCTCGTTGAGCTATTCGAAACGAAGGACGTGTTTGTCAAGGAACTTCAATCTACCTTGGCAGAGAGGTTGCTCAAGAATAAAGCCGACTTCAACCAGGAGATTGGTATGCTGGAACACTTGAAAATCCGCTTTGGAGACTCTGCGCTGCAAGGGTGCGAAGTCATGTTAAGGGATGTTCTGGATTCGAAGAAGGTGGATAAAGTTATTAGGAGGGATTTGGAAACTCAACAAGGGAAGAAGGGACGGCCCGTCAGGCAAAGGGATGACAGTGTCCAGATTCACGCAAAGATCCTCTCACGCTTGTTTTGGCCGCCCATGCCGGAGCAGTCATTTAATCTGCCAGCAGTAGTGACGGAGCAACAACGAAACTATGAACAGGGGTTTGGAGCCCTCAAGCAGTCGCGGAAGTTAACTTGGATCAATACCATTGGTCAAGTGGAAGTTGAATTGGAGCTGGAGGACCGCAGTTACCGTGATGAAGTCCTCCCATGGCAAGCGACCGTCATTTACGCCTTCCAAGAAGACACTGCCGGAAGAGCAGAGCAACCTATCAAAAAGACCGTTGCCGAACTTGCATCTGATCTTGCAATGTCCCCAACCCTCGTTCGCTCTGCCTGCATATTCTGGGCCTCAAGACGCATCCTCGCCGAAACCTCTCCCAACACATTCTCCGTCATTGAGCGACTCCCTACTGGAACCCATGACGACAACGACACATTGATGAGCGAAGGCGGTCTATCAGCTAATCGACCCACGGACAGTGGTTTGGCCGCCGCAGAAGCTGCCGCCTTAGCTGCTGCGACCAGGGAGACCGAAGAGGCGGAGCGCAGACAGAAGATGGCGATGTATCATCGATTCATTGTATCCATGCTCACGAATCAGGGCGCTATGCCACTGGCGAGGATTTCGATGATGTTGTCCATTGTGGTCCCCGGCGGATTCCCATTTAGTAATGAGGAATTGAAAGAGTTTCTGGCATCCATGGTGAAAGAAGACGTGTTGGAAGTTGGGAAATCGGGTGTTTATAAGGTCGTCGCTGGTTAAGAACTGGAGCGATGACAATGATGACTAATTGATCACGAACGCGACGAAGGCGAAACACGTGTCAGGGTCAGAACTTACAGCAAAGAATGTGTCAAACTAGACTACGAACAAGGCAGGAGAATGCAGTTCTTGAAGCTGGTATTCTGACTATTGACCACGCGATAGCTGGGAATTTGGTTTTTTGGGGGTGCATACCACAGTGAATGCCCTCAACTAGATCCCAAGGCAACGATAAGCTATGAAATCGCTAGCGGTGCACACGATATCATGAGACAAGCTGGAGAATGAGGAAAGTTCACCATCGTTTATATTATACTTTAGTATCTGTTCGTTGTCGAGCACCAAGACAGTCAAGTAAGAAGAACGGTTCACAAAGACCCGAGGATATGCCGCGAGGCCAAATTTTTAACTCTCCTTGGACGTTGCACAATAGTATGTATGTAGCACATCTCCATCGGTGAAGGGGGGATGATATTGGAATGTTTCGTCTGATGATGATGCTCCGTGGTCGATTGCATATGTGTCTGACTTAATGAGAAGTTGTTCATCGTGGACATTGAGCGAAGAGAGGAGGCAACGAAGGACTACCCGCCCTCGCCGCGAGACACTTCAGAGCAAGGCCCCGGAAGGTGGCCTAACCGTTCTGTACGTGGGAGTGTAAGAGGAACGGAAAGCGAGACACCACAAACACAGACACAGTGAGAAGGAAGAAGGGGGAGACCGTTTGAGTGACTGAGAGAGAGAGAGACCGCACAGACGCAGCATTATGCTCCCGACGCCGTCGACCTCGCACGTCTCGTACGACCTTATCTACGAGCCAGCAGAGGACTCGTACCTGTTCCTCGACACGCTGTCCTCGGCCTCGGAGACGGCGTGGCTGCGTTCACGGTTCTCGTCGCAGCGACAAAAGACCGACGAGACCGGGCCTAGGACCAAGCGAAGAAGGGGAAGAAGAAAGGGAGTGCCGCTCCTCGTCGAGATCGGGCCCGGGTCCGGCGTCGTCGTCGCCTTCCTGACCGCGCAGGCCGAGACCATCTTCGGGAGCCACGTGCTCAGCATGGGCGTCGACGTCAATCCGCACGCATGCCTCGCGACGCAAACGACCGTCGAGAAGGCGCTCGCCGAGACCAAGGCCAGGACAGTGGAGACGACGACCACGACGACCACAACCACGGTGGAGGGGCAAGTTACGAATTCTCCTCCCGCTACCGCCACTGCTACCGCTACTGGGAAGTGTCAAGACGCGACGAGCAGTGTCTACCTCTCCTCCTTGAACGGCGATCTAGCCAGCCCGCTCCGGCCGTGTGAAGTCGACGTCTTAATCTTCAATCCGCCGTATGTCCCAACAGAATCGGTCCCTGTTGCTGCCACAATCACCACCGCCTCCGCCATCACCACCGGCGCCGTCCCACTATCATCTTCGTCGTCGTCGTCGTCGCCGCATTCATCTTCTTCTCACAACCCAGCCGCCCCAAGCTTCGAGGAACAGTCCAATCTCCTGGCCCTCTCCTACGCAGGCGGCGTCGACGGCATGGAAGTCACGCGCCGCCTGCTACTTCAGGTCCCAGACGTCTTGAGCCATTGGGGCGTGGCATACGTGCTGTTCTGCCGCGGCAACCGGCCCGAGGAGGTCAAGAGCTGGATCCGCGCGTGGCAGCAGCGACCACTACCGCCTGGCGACGCCCCAGGTGAAGGCGAAGAAGAGGCGCCGTGGCAGTGGCGCGCAGAGACTGTGGGCACCAGTGGGAAGACAGCAGGCTGGGAGAAGTTGGAGATTGTCAGGATATGGAGGGAATGAGTTCTCCCACTCTCCCCGAGGAAATTACGGATATGTAGGGCACGTGTCCTAGACAGCAAGCAAGAGCGTAAAAAGAAGATACCCTGACAAAACGCTCAAGCCGAAGCAACCGGTCCGGTCAAAGGAGTCAGGAAAGCTTCTCTCATAATATGCACAACTAATTGGCGGGTATGCTAGGCTGGGAGTGAAACAGCATGTAAATATTACTATTAATTATTTTCGTCAACTCGTTCTGTGTAAAATGTCTGACCAACAGGCAGCTTCGGTAAACATCTTCCCGGAGGCGAGAGGCACATTTCTGTGTGTAGGCTTGTCTGGCAATTTTGTTCCTTCATGTTTGTTTTTCCAACCATATGCAATCCAATGATGAGTGCAGGGTGACGATATTAACGTACATGCGAGTTTTCAGTCGTGAGAGAGAGTATGTGTTTGCGGTGGTAGGATTCGTGCAATCAGTTGAGGTCCACACACGAGCGAGATACGGAGAAGGAAGAGCGATCGTGGGCTTAGTTTCCTTAACCCTATAGAAGAGCCACAGCTCTGCCAATTCTGTCAGCATAAAACCAAAACCAGGAGGTTCAAGTTCCAGCGAGGGGAAAGGGTTCTTGGAAGAGCAGGAGTTCTTACCCTGCAATACCCGCAACAACAGCGACCCCGCCAGGGAACTCAGCACGGTATGCCGCGCCACTGAATGTCGCGGGAGCAATTGAGCTGGTGGTCGAGGCGGCTGCAACAGAGGTGGGTGCCTGAGGCTGTCCGTCGCTGATTTGGCTCACAGGCGCGCCTGTTGGTGCCTGAGGCTGACCATCACTGATCTGAGTGACCGGTGTGCCAGTAGGTGCTTGAGGCTGTCCGTCACTGATTTGGCTCACAGGTGCGCCTGTGGGTGCTTGAGGCTGTCCATCGCTAATCTGGGTGACTGGTGTGCCAGTAGGTGCTTGAGGCTGACCGTCACTGATTTGGCTGACCGGCGCGCCAGTAGGAGCCTGGGGTTGTCCATCACTGATCTGAGTGACTGGCGTTCCGGTAGCGGCTTGTGGTCTTGCAGTCTGTCAGCAAGAATGTCGACAGAAAGGGAATTAATAGTTGACATACTGGCCATCAGAGATCTGAGTAACGGGGGCGCCGGTCGGAGCCTGTGGTCTATAGAGGTTATCAGCAAAGAGTACGGCCAAAATACACGAGTGGATGAAAGCTGCTCGACTTACTGGCCATCGCTGATCTGGCTCACCGGCGTTCCGCTGGGGGCTTGCGGCCTGCGAATTGTCAATAAGACTATACCCGGGGGGCTGTAAAGCGTGGTGTGAAAACTTTTAGACTTACTGGCCGTCGCTGATTTGCGTGACGGGAGGAGCTGTATTGGCCTGGGGTCTGTGGAGAGGTCAGCGAGACTCACGTTGTGACAGTGATGGAATAAAACCAAGTAGTAGTCTGGAGTGGGAAAAAAGGACGATGCGGCCTCAAAAGGGGTGTCCCTTCCCCTCAATGAGACATGGGAGGCAGAAGCAGGTGGCATTATATGGCGAAAAAAGGCATAGATGGAGGAGATGAGCGGCCCTTCCAACAGAGGGATCAAAACAAGCCGTGTTACAGCTCAATGCGAATACAGGTAGCAATAAGAGCACGGGACCAAGGTCGAGGGTTAAGACGCGGTAAAATATGCCATAAGGACAACTCATGGCGCAACAATGAAGGGATAACTTACTGTCCATCTGAGATCTGCGTAACGACAACAGAAGTGACCTGGGGTTGGCCGTCCGTGAGCTGAGTGACCGAGGGGACAGCAGTCGTCACTGCTGGCTGACCGTCTGTCGCTTGTGTTGCTGGCGGAGCCGAGGATCCGATCAGGGCGTAGATGTAGATTGGAACACAGTGGGGTGCCCATTTTCGGTCGTACAAGTTATAGAATGATCCACTTAAACATTGATACCAGATGGCAGAGCCACCCAACGCAAGGCTGGAATTGGAGCAAAGGGAGAAACCGCTCGTATAGATAGCACCAGCTTGAGGAGGGTTGTCAAACTGGAATTGATAGTTTGAGGCGATGTAGCCAGTGCGTCCGGCCTGGTCTTTCAGGATCGAGTCGGCAAGAGTGAGGGTCAGGATTCCAGAAGTTTGACGCTGCAAGCGCTCAGTACTTTCGCAAATGGTATGTGGGCGACGCAGTTGACCTACCTCCGACAGATCTCGCTTAGATGCCGACGAGACATTCACGACGGTAATCTCGAAGCTGCCGCTATACGAGGGCTGGCAACCTCCGGGAGCTGGAGATGATGGAGCAATCGCAGACGTCACCCCCTGAGGCAAGGGCGAGGCCAGGGCGGAGACGGCCAGAGCCGTAAGGAGAGCGAATGTACGCATAGTTGGAGTGGTGTAAGGCGTAAGGTGTGGGTGTTGCTGATACGAAGACTCGATCTCAACGAGGGTGGGTAGACGCTGGAGCGAATGATCAGTGCCTTACCGGAGGACTGGGACTATACAATGAACAGCACTCTTGAAGAAGAAGAAGAGAGCGGCGACTGAGCGGTACGGTTTTATGAGAGCTCTGTGATGCCGGGTGCTCGCCAGAAGAAGACATTCGAAGCAATGCTAGCGGTTCCATGACAGTCAAATGAGAATCAATGGTGTCAATGGTGCGCGAAGAGATTGTCCGTGACAGCCGGTCAGTGGATGGATGTTGGTGTTAGTGTCGACTGTCAATGCATCTTCTCTCCACCATTTTCCAGCACACCACATTCAGGTGTAGCTTCTATCCGAAAAGCGAGCTTTTTTCTGTCAACCCCGCACCCAATGCATGGATGGTGTGGTCGGTTCGATCGCCCATTCGATGCCCACATCTTGGCGATCGTCGTGCTGCAAAGGAGCTTTTCGCTGGAGGCCTCGATATTTAGCACGTCCGCCCGGTCAGAAAAAGCTTTGGTTCTGTGGTCACAGCCAGCCCTCATACTGAGAAGGATAGACGGCGGAAGGAGAGCTTGCAGCCCCACCACCCATTGTGCCACTGAGATCAGTCGATGACGAAAAGACTCTAGAGACCCCTATGAGAATGGTGTAGCATCTGAGACATGAAGCATCAGATGGTGCATATGAAGCCTCCTTCGGGAGCTGTCCTCGACCAATTCGATCTAGCAAGGCGGGGAATGAGCTTCACAGGGATCGTTAAACTTTCGCATGGTGTGATTCCGAGCCGTCTTGGATGGACTTGTGCGTACCTGTACTTGTAGGTGGTTGACGCTAATGCTACAATTCTCACCCAGAGAGAGGTGAGCAGGAATTGAAATCGGCACAGCATTGTAAGGGACTGTATTTGTGCTCATCTCGACTGCCCGCATCGTTCGTCACGTTCGCATTCGACCGGGAACTCTCATCAGAGGGGGATGTGGGATGAGTCGAGAAATGCATTAGTGTGTTGCGGTGGTTGCAGGCGGTTGCATGCGGTGGAAAACCCCTCGATGGTTGCTTTTGCCGCCTGCCCAAATTGGATCTAGCGCAATCACGTGTTCCGTCCATCCCGAAGTTGAGTGACACCGTCACCAGCGTATCACTGTACCACGAGCTGCATGAGCAAGGTAAGCTCTCTTGGCTGTCCTCGGTACCAGGTACCCAGGACCAAGGCCCAACAAGTGGGTGTCAAAGCTCGCTTGTATTGACCACCTACAAGGACAAATCTAAACGTCACCAAACAACCTCGGTGCTAACGTCGTCACATTGGCGGGGCCAGAACTTCTCGCACCCATCCCATCTCCACCGCACTCACGCCACGGGCATAGGCCTTTGTGCCTGTGTACACAAATTCGTTGTACATGATGCCTTCATACTTCCTCTGCTGAGCCTTGCCACCAACCCCTTGATCGGCAGAGCTGTATGAAGGAATAGAGAACAACACACTACTTGGGTGAATTGAAACAGGCTGGTTCGTGAGTACCGTTCGATAGCTCCCGTCGGGGCAAAGCCGCGCAACGTTGGGGTGGAAGCCTGTCAAAATGCACTTGAGGATGCGAGTAGCTAGAGTGGTTTTGTCATGATCTCGCGCCAGATCAACTTTCCGTGTCTCGCTCTCGCTCTTGCGCCGGTATCGATCCATCAGCGCGGTAAGTTGTTTCCTCACATCCATGGCGCCGCTCATTGCCCGGTGCGAGATGTACCGCTCTTCACACCATCGCCGGCGATCGGTGTTTTCAGCTACATATGCCTGGACAGTGGCTAAGAGGGTGAGATGGTCACCTTCACGTCGAAAGAGTTCGCGTCGTGCTTGTTGTGCTCGAGCCTCGGAGGAGTCTTCAAGATCGGAGTCACTGTGGTTAGGTGATGATTTCGAGGTAGTTTTGAACAAGTCGCCAGATGCCGAAGCAGATGATGGGCGGTTGTGAAGATTCAGGAATATGTTCTCAACACTCAACGCCGAAACAATGTCAACAACTTGCTCGACGCAGTCATATGCTGGCTCAGCGCTGGCAAGAAGCACCCTTGCCAAACTCGCAGGCAGAGGTAGCTTGCTCATCTCCAGGCCTAGACTTGTGATTTGCCCGCTCGAATTATCCAATGCCGAGAGCTGAAGGAGATGGACCATGGCCCTCTCCAGGGCCCTGCGTGGCGGTGTGGTTAGAAATGGAAATTCGCTCAAATTGTCGATCGAATGCGCTTTGAGTGTAAGAGCGAGCTGACTGAGGTCGCAGCGGAGGATTTCAGGCTCAGTGTCCTGGGTCAACTGGTAGAAGTCCGCCTCAGTGTACAATCGGTACGCTGTTCCTGGTGCATCTCGCCCAGCTCGCCCAGAACGCTGGTTCGCGGAACTGCGAGAGATGGGCACAGTGAGAAGAGTGTCTAGATTTAGAGAAGGGCGGAATAGTCGCTGTTTCGCTTTCCCCGTGTCGATTACATATCGTATCCCAGGAACCGTGATACTGGTCTCGGCGATATTTGTGGCTAAGATGATCTTGCGTGTGAACTTGGGAGTTGGCTGGAAGACGCGTTGTTGCATATGCGAAGGTAGAGCAGCGTAGAGAGGAAGGATGAGAAGTCTGGGAAGCGTCGCAGACTGCTTGGGGTCCTTTTGAATCGAATGTGACCAAGAACTCACCAGGCTGAGGAGAGATTCCACGGTTTCTTGACCCGTGAGAAACACAAGTACGTCGCCAGGTAGAGGAGTATGCGTGTGGATTTGCAGTATTCGCTGATATGCAGCATCGATAACGTCCGGAACCGAGGTTGACGTATAGTTGACGGCCACGGGATATTGACGGCCTTTGATGAAAAGTGACGTTGGTTTTGAAGAGACATCACCATTGCAGCCGGCCTGAGTGTTCCCATTTTCTCCATTGGGGCTATTTTCGTCGTTCGAGAAGCCGGACCAACCTTCTATTGCTTCATGAGACTCTCCATTGATATTCGAGCGGTTTTCATGAATCCCGTGGCTAACGTCAAAGAAATGCTGGATTTTCTCCATGTCTGCCGTCGCACTCATGACCACGACCTTGAGTGCAATACCGCCCCTCCCATCCTTCTTATGCCTGAGATCCTGCATCCTCCTGAGAAACCCCAATACCAAATCCACATTGACGCCTCGCTCGTGGACCTCATCCACCACGACGGCAGAGTACTCTTTCAACCAAGGGTCCCGCAGCATTTCTTGTAGGAGCGTACCCTCCGTCAAGAACTTGATCCTCGTCGAGGGACTCGTGCTGTTCTCAAACCGGACAGAGTAGCCGACCTCAGACGCAGGGCTGGAGTTCCCGAGCGGCGTGCCCATCTCCTCCGCCACGCGACGGGCGAGGGAAATCGCAGCGACCCTTCGGGGTTGCGTGATAGCAATGCATCCTCCAACGTTGACGCCTCCGCGGAGCTTCTTCTTCTTGCACCAGGGTTCATTTACCAGGAACTGTGGAATCTGCGTCGATTTTCCCGATCCTGTTTCTCCGACCAGTAGCAGCACATCATGATCTCTGATCTTCTCCCGTATCTCGTTGGCGTTGCTGTAAATGGGTAATTTTCTTCTGGCGGGTAGCAAAAGACGCGCCCGTTCCTTCAAACTTGGGGGTTTACTGCCACTCTGGCAACCATCGTGCTTCGCTTCACGGTCCTCGAAATCGACGACTCTACCGGCCGTACCATTCACCGCGGCAGTGGATCGATGGCTTTGCAACTTGTCTCCCACAGATGCAGACTTCGACGAGAAAGCCTCATCAGCGGATCTTTTGGTCCCTTTCATCAGCGTTGTCGTCTTCTGCTTGCATTCCAGCATGTCTATTCGGGGATTTATTTGTACTTCCGCTACACACGAGTAGTGATAGAAGCATCAGAAAGCACTAACTTGAAACAGCCCAAAACAAGCGTAATCGCTGGAAAAGATAATATTGCAAACGATGGCAAAAACAAAATTTCTTCACAGCCTCGTCACGTTCTTTCCGAGGCTAAGGCTTGGCGAGAGACCAGGCCAATATATTCCGACTACGTTGGATACCTGGCGGGCTGGGTACCGTAGTTACTCGCTCGCTCGGGGGAGATAAAGAAGCTTGGCCCATGTTTCCCGCTTCCCCGTAGTCCTGCTCCCCCTCTGCTCACCCTCCGCCCGCCTAAAACGCTCCCTGACGCTCCCTGAGCACCTAACAAGTGGTGAGCCTCGCCGTTGCACTCATTCGGAAACACCGTTCAGCATCAAAGCCCAAACGATAAGTCTCATTCTAAATTCAAGCCTTCACCTCCACATCCTCCTGATTCGCAGCAGCCCAATGTGACCATATAATCGGCGATGTATCTGCCGACAAACAAAAGTTTATAAACTGAATATATCTTTCGCGGCGTTTTACTTTCATAACTTCGAATTCCTGAATTCTCAGTCTTCGCAAAAATATTGGGCTTTGAATAAAATGGCGCAGACAGCTTTCGCCCACTTTTTGGCTTAGGGATAGCATTGCGCGTGGCTATTACTGCGGACTAAGCGGCTTTATAGACGTTCTCCTCGCATTTTCATTTCTCCTAGCGACATTTTTGACCACCAGTGGTTATGATCTTTGCTGGCTTTGCCCAGTGAAGATCCCGTCATTCGGTCTGACAATAGGGACTGCCAATACCTGATGCTAGCGGTAGCCCGGCGCATACATCGTTTAGTTTCATTAACGACAAAGAGGCCTTCCTCATAAGTTTAATAATTTTCTTCGAAAAGGTCTGAGTCGTATATGAACTGAGAATTGAGATAAGGCGATCTGAGATGTGCACGAGGAAAGAGATCGAATTTCCACCATTGCGAATTTTGTATCTTTGCCAGTCTGAAGTCCACATGAACCGATCTCCAAACGGGCCAGTACGCGTGCCGCTTACCGAAGAAAAACTTATGAAAAACTGGTCGACGCAGACGTCGAAAG